CGAGCGCCCCGCAGCCGCCGGCAGGGCAGGGGACCGGGGACCGGGAACAGGCAACAGGCAACAGGCCCGGTTTGCTGCAGCGTGCCAGCCTTCCGCTCCAGTCCTCCCCGACCCCCAAAGCATCTCGGGCCGAGGTGCAGGCAGGGACGCCTGAGGGGAGAGCAGGGCCCCGGCTGCTGGAGCTGCGAGGTTTCGGGCGCGATCTGCACCCTCCAGCAGCGTGTTCTCCCTGGAAGCTGTGTGCCAGTTAGATACAGCATCTGCTGTTGGCCGTGCCCATGCAGTTGGACCGGTTAAGGCCTGTTGGCCATACTGCTAATGTGCGCTCCCTCAAGAAATTGGGATCTCACCTTTGAACGAGGCTAGTTTTCAGGATAAGGGTGGTGGTGTTGCAAGTACATGGCTTTAGTAAGGCTTATGGTGCTTTGCATTTCTTAAATGGTCACAAATGAGAAATTACTTCGCAAATCACGACTTTGGTAAGGTCAGAGCGGTAAAATTTGTGAAAAAATACCCCCAAGTTAGTTCTTTCACAAGTCTTTATTTTGTAGATAAATATTTCTCAGACAGTATAAGCACATTTTCAGTGGTTTTTTTCTTTTTTTTTTTTAAGTACAAATCCTCATGAAGAAGTAAATATTGTTCTATTCCTTCTCACAGCTTTTCCCCAAGGTCACACATTCTCAGTTGGAGTTGTTGGCTACCTGAGGAGAATCATCACCATTTACAGTAATTTAATACTAAAAATAAGTTCAACAATGGATTTTATCTGTTACATAGTTAAAAAAAAAAATATTTAGAAAACAGTGTTGTGCCATATACGTGCTAAATGGCCCAACAGAACATTTAAGCAGTATCCAGGATGTATCACAACATGTGAGTGTTGTCCAGTGCCATTTTAAGAATGTAAATTTGTTTCTGTTAGTTGTTTGTTAATTTTGTTTCTTAGTTGCTTCATGGCCTAGGACACCAGATTTGGAAACTGGATTTACAAAATATATGCAAAACAGTAGTTACATAGTTAGATTCTTCTGCATATTATTGTTTGGTCTTTATGTTTGATGTAATTTTTCTTTATTTTGTACAATATGAAAATTAGGCCAATAGCTACATTTTAAAAACCTACCTATATATAGTTCTACATAGTCATTAGGTAAGGAGGGTAAAGGAACCTTCAATTTGCTAAAATTTTAGACATAAATTAGGAAAAAAAAAATTTTTAAACAGAATCAGGGAAGAATGAATCAAAAATGCAAATTCCTATTCTTGTGCTTTTTAGCTGACCCACACTTCTCTCTCTGACTTAAAAAAGCGAACTGTTTATTTTGCAACCAGGTTATTCAGAGGAAGGTACAGAAGAAGCGTGGCTTTCATTCAGAATGGTTATTCCTGATGGCTTTTGATGATCTTAATGAATGAATAGAATAATACCATACTTCAGTTGAATACAATTTTACAAGATACTGCAGTACGAAATGTTTTGATTGTTTGTTTTTTTTTTTTTGTCTTGAAGTGTCATAGTCCATGGGAGTTTTTAGTAGTATTTTTAGAAGGCCTTAGCCCCCTTTGTGAACCTTTTCTTTCCACCTACATGTATGGAAAAAATACATTCAAAAGCTTTTCACTCTGTCGACTATTACTGACCTGCTTTGTCTGCTGTTCCATGTTATTTTTACCAATCTACTATGTGTTCTGTTTCAGCTAAAAATACTTCTAATTTCTACCAACTGGACATGCTTGTATCATACTGTTACAGAATTTTTAGAGCAGAAGATTTTTCAGTGATAGAAAAGGGAGAGCAGGAGAAAATGTGACTGTCATCTAGTGAGCCTAAGTTAAATCCCCCAAATTCAAAGTATGCCTTTCCTCAGTGCCAAAGTAGTTTCACCACATGGACAAAGACAAGATGGAGCGTGTGAATGGCAGAACAGAGATGATTGCAACAGCAAAAAATGCAAAACTCCATGTCACGCTTTCAGATCACGGGGACTACATCTGCGGTTCTGAAACAGGTGATACGTAAAATCTAGCAGCAAGTGTTTTGAACAGATCTGTTAAGAATGCTAGCAGATGACTGGAAAATAGCAAACGTGGGTCTGGCCTTGTGCTTGAGGCATGTAACTGAGGGGTCCTAGCTGAGAGGCTTGTTGGCTGAGACTCCCTCAATACTCGGTGGGGAGAGGTGTCTCCAGAGGACAAGCCACATCAGGAATGGCTGGCTCCTCGTGGATCCCCATCTCTCTCTGTTAAGTCTTTGAAGTTAGGTGGGCTGAACCTGGACTGTAATTGCTTATCTTTGAAAAGAAGAAAAGTGACCTGGCCAACCACAGACCCCAAAGCCTGGTCTCAATCTCATGCAAAGCTTTGGAAAACCTAAAATTTGCTGAATTATTACCCAATTGATAAACCACTTGATATGGCATCACCTGGGAAGGAATGAGAATGTGGGGGTTGGGAGAGAAATTGTGAAGTGAGAGTGCCACAAGTAAGGTTGAAAAGGAAGATGTCAGGCTTAAAGGGTTGGTTTTAGGATGGACTTATTTGGTATTTTTTTGTAGTAGCCCTGATAAAATCAGTAAGAGCATACTGATGAAATCTGGTAATGATATATACTTAGGAATCATCATAAGTACAGAAAGTATCTCCGGAGATGTATTTTCATTTAAAGTGAGGAGGTATTAATGTCATTGTTTAAGGCCCTGGTGAAATCTCATTTGGGGTACTGTGAAAACTTCTAATTAATTGTTCTATAGCTGAGCTAAGGCTGAACTGAAAGAGGGGTAGAGCGGGGTTAGGCGCATCACCAGAGAGCTTGAGAGCCTTTCCTACAAAGAGATTTTAAGGTGGCTCAGATTGTTTACTTCAATAAAACAAAACCAGAGAGGAGATAGAGTGCTGTCTATAAATATATCAGGAAAGTAAACATGAAGGATGAAAACCATTTAATCTGCAGGGCAATGTTGACACAAGTACAAACAGATATGTACCATTCATTAATAAATATATCAGGAAATTACAATAATGTTTCTAGTCATTGCAGCAATCAAATTCTGAAACAGCTTTTCCGTGGAACTAGTGGGAGCAAAAATATACCTGTTTTTAATATGGCGCTTGATAAATTTATGAGGCGATTGTACAACAGAGCTTTCTGTAGCAGCAGGGAACTAGGCCCTGTCATTCAGGAGGACCTTTCTGTCCTGTGTTACCATGCCAATTCATAGTACAAATAGCACAACATTTTGTCCAGATTTATGGTTCTTAATATGACTTGCCAGTCCAATCTGAATAGTAGGCAAGGTTCAGAAGTCCTTACACATGCAGAAGTCAGATTGCGCTGCTGTGACCTCAGTAAAGCATACGATGTCGGCATTATGTAGAAAAGAGTGGAAAAAAGGAGTTAAGCAAAAGAACTTTTAAGTAAGATGAAGAAAGCGTGGGGAAGTTGCAGATGGCAAGAAGGTTATCAGTAAAGTTCTTCAAAGATCAAGTCATAGGCCCTGAGTCCACTTTGGATACCAATACAAGTATATATAAAATTACTCCATGTTTCCATGCTTTGTTCTGCTTTTGTGATGCATGCTGTTTGAATTTAGTACTGCTGAAAGCAGCAGGGTCTGTAGCTTGTCAACTTAGCAGAGCCTTATATTCAGTGTGCTGAGCTTCCTTAACACACAGCAGGAGGTCAAATCCAACAACAGGTTGATGTGTTGACTGGTCCAGAGATGCCAGCAGAGCTACTAACTAATGTTAATTCAACTCATGTAATCAATCCACAACTCAACCTCAAAAAAGAGAAATAAAAAAAACCTGATCTCCTATGTATGTTGTGAGTTGACATAACAAGATTTCTTTCAGGACTGAGCAAGCTCATGCCAACGAGCTCGTGCCAGCAGGGAATTAAGTAACATTTCGTTTGAAACATGCCATTGTGCATTTTCTGGAACCTTT